CTTGAAGTGGGTGGATAAGAACAAAGGAGACAATGTGAAAGAAAACTACAGAAGTCGCTTGGTGGTCAGAGAAGTCAAGAAACCAGGTCAGACTGTTCCAGAATGTGAGAGCTTCTCAGCACTGCCTCCACTCGAGGCACTCAAGGCACTTTGTTCACTCATGACTTCAATGAAGGTCAGCCGGCGTGGAAAAGTGCTCAAGCTCAAGTTGCTGGACATAAGCCGTGCTCATTTTTATGGTGATTCTCAACGAGCTGTGTATTGCACATTGCCTGAAGGAGATGAGACGCCTGGTCATTGTGCCCGTCTTGTCAAAACGATGTACGGGACGCAAGATGCAGCATCAATTTGGCAAGCAACCTACAGTGAATTGCTTCAAGAACACGGCATTCAAGCTGGAACGGCATGGCCGTCGATATTCTATGACACGCAATCAGACGCGAGATTTCTTGTGCATGGAGATGATTTCTTGATTTTAGGAGATGAGGATGCACAAAAGCGGATTGCCACCATTTTGGCAAAGAAGTTCGAATTTCGTGTCGACGGATGCGTCGGACCTGAAGAGTCAGATGGCACGGTGATGAGCGTGCTCAATAGGATTTTGGAATACAACAAGTCCACAGGGACGTTGACATACGAAGCTGATCCTAGACACGCAGAGATCATTGTGAAACAATTGCAGCTAGAAGGCGCTCGAGAAGTGAGCACACCATCGACAAAGCAAACAGGGGAAGAGGCGTTCATTGAAACGCCGCCTTTAAATCATGAACAAGCAAAGATCTACAGATCATTGGTGATGAGAGCAGCCTATTTGAGCCTAGACAGAGGAGATCTATGTGAAGCTGTGAAAACATTGGCAAGGTCTATGTCCGTTCCCGACGAAGATTCTTGGGCAAGATTGAAACGCTTGGGCAGATACCTGCTAGGCAAACCCAGAGTTGTTCAAGAGTTCAAACCACAACGGATGTACACCAAGATCCGAGCTTTCACAGACAGTGACCATGCTGGATGCGTTCGCACGAGAAAGTCCACCACCGGACTGGTCTTGATGTGTGGACAACATACCTTGAAGTCTTCATCAACTCTGCAAACGACGATATCGTTGTCTTCGGGCGAATCGGAGTATTACGCCATCGTTAAAGCAACGGCATCAGTGCTCGGGATACGAGAATTGTTCCGAGAATGGGGAGTTGAGTTGGACTGCATGGTTCTCTCAGACTCCAGTGCAGCCAGAGGAATGTGCAGTCGACGCGGGCTAGGCAAAACAAGGCATGTACAGACCCGCTACTTGTGGGTTCAACAGAAGCTCAAAGAGAAAGAGTTCGAGTTGGTCGCAGTGGGCACCGACAAGAACGTTGCCGACTTGTGCACCAAGCCTTTGAGCGCGGAGACCTGTTGGAAGCACATGCATGCCTTGGGCCAGTACGCAAAGACCGGCAAGAGCTCGGCTGCAAAAGCCGTGGAGTGAAGATTCATCTGCAAAGCAGAAGAATCTTAGGAGGGGTGTTTGGATGTAGGGTATGTACATACTATACACGTACCCCGACTTTTGGCTCAAGGGAAATAAGCGCGAGCGGCCGAGCTTTGAGCGTCCATATACATTTTCATATATACTCGATGGTAAGAGCAAACATATCCATGGTCCTCACGAAACCGCCGACTCCGACTCCAGGCGTCGTGCCCGGAGTCGCGCCGACTCCGTGGAATCGGACGCGCCGGGCGAGCAGGAGCGGCGAAACGGTCCTTCCGGGAGTAGCCTCCCTGGAGCGAAATCGGAAGAAGAGAGAAGAGGTGGCACTAAGGGGTGTCCAAAAAGAAGCCAATAGAGAAGAATTCTGGAAGAGGTTTGCATTTGAAGAGTTCTAAGTTTTGGGAAGACTTAAAAGTTGGTGGCGACCTGTTGGAGGGTTCTGGTAGAGAGGTAAGACTGTTTGGAGATGGTTCAGTTTCAGGACTGGCCAGGACTTCTCGGCCGTTGCGGTAGGCGTCGGCCAAGAAGTCCGTCCAACATCTGAAGGCAAAAGAACATCAAAACACACTGCAGTTCTCTAGGGGTCCAAGTACCTTCTGAGAAGGTACTTGGACACTCCAAACCTACATAGTTACATAACAGTGTCTCCAATCACCTTCTGAGAAGGTACTTGGATCCCTAGGGGTTAGACGTTGGAAGCCCAGGGTGATGGAGATGATGATGGCCTCATGGTAGGATCCTCAGAACACGACCGCGCTCCAATCAACCTCACCATGGAAATCATCCAGAAGCTTCAGGATGATCATTCGCAACTCGACTCGACATAATAACTAAACAATCTTGCAGAAGTCTTGAGGTCCTCCAACTTGAGGTTGCACCGGGATTGTCCCCAGTCCCGGCTTGCATTGGGTCCCCAAGCTGTTTCAGATAAAGAGATGGGAGTCGGGGAGTTTGGGTCAAAAACCTGGACCCCAAAACAGTGCCCCGGCCCCTCGTAGTCTATTCATGTCTATTCTGTTCATTTGGTGGTCAACCAAGGTCCCCCGGTGCGATGCCCCACAGCATCCCACAACCAAATTCCACAGGAGCACGGTGGCGCGACCCCCTTCTGAAGCGCCGCGCAGCCACGCGTCTGATGTGCCCCTCACGTCAGTGATGGACTTGTTCAAGGCGAATCGGCGGGGGAGGCGTGCACCTCACAGATTGTGCCCAGAAGACAGACAAGGCTCACACACGATGTTTAGATACGAAAGATTTAAGGGCAAATGTCTTTGTTTGTATTTAATGTTGCGTCGTTTGTAACATAGTTGTGTTATGTTGTGCTTGGCAGTTTCTTCCCCAAAGACATGGTGTTTTTCTGTACTTCGTCATTCGCACAACATGCACAACGCTCTCCACGCGGCAACTCGTGATGCTGACTCAATCAATTGATCAGATTCAACACGGAAAATGCTCGCAACGGACTTGGGCCCATGTTGATCCCTTGTAGGCCCTCTTACTATTAATTAATGAATGTATAGACATATGTAGACTATATTGATAAATAAACACCCCATATGAAGAGGAATTTCCAATTCAATCGGGGGTTTCATTAATTAATTTATCAAGAATCTACATCAATTAGTTGGAGACGAATTGGATCTTCCAACCCGAACTTCCAAATGACGACCCTGCTTGCACTGAATTTACTGCACGCTAATTACCAGCTATTTCACACGGACCTCCAGTCCACAAAGGGATACAAAGGGTCCTGTTTGTGTTCCACTCTCACTCCGGACCCCGCCCCGCTCGGCGTTTCGTTCTTCATTTCATCGGACCAAGGGACCCAGTCTTCGCGCCATCCGTTGCGGGGGGTCTTCGGCGACGTTCCAGTCTTTACCGATGACTGGAGGGTAGCTCCAGCAAAACTCGTTCGCTGAAAAAAGGGCCCCTTTCCGCGGATCTACCAGGTTGTTTTCGATGGTTGCATGCAAAAACCATAGGAAACGAAACCGGGGCTGATCCAATCCACCACTTGGTCTCACTGAGACTGGGTGTCGCAGGTTTCGCCAATTGCTTCGCACCCACCGTCAGGAGGTGGAGGAGCACGAGACTGAGCTTGCGGAGGTGAGGGTGGCTTCAGGGGGCCGTGGTGAAACGCATACGTGTGTTACGGTGTGATGATGCATCCTATAGAAGTGATCTGGGTGGAACAGGTGAGCTGTTGGTCGAACAGCTTGGCGTGGATTTCGCAGGAAGTGGATGCACCTCGTGGGCTCGTGGGCATTCCTTTGGAGATGCAGGGAGGGGAGTCATGTCCTCCTCTACCTTGGAAGGTGTGAGTCGTTTGACAGACTCGTGCGAACATCAGTGCCGGTCCAAGGAAAATAGTAACACCTGGTCCGTGAACTCATGGAGCACAGTTTTTGTTGTATGTCCGTTTTTGTGTCCGGATTCAGTCCATGAGGTCCCTCACCTGGGAAAGCTAAGTTCCATGAATAAGTCCCAGACACTCCATGCATGCCATATATGCCATACATTGACCCCCAATCAACCACCCCTGGCCGTTTTGTTCGAAACGGCAGTCCCCATCGGTCGTGTCGAGTTACGGGCTCAACTCGGACGATTGGACATGCTTGGAGCCGACCGATCCACGGACTGACCTGCGGCGAGATCGAAGGACCTCGAGATCGAACCCCCCCCAAGACCAGATCCACGGAGATCGAGAATGCTGACCAGATCCGTGCAAATGATGGAGTGACTCATAAAACATTAAAATAAACATATACTGCTAGGCATTGGCAGGGGGTTCTGCATCGGAACTCACATGAAACATCACGAAGGATCTCCACCCAGTTCTCCAACTCGCCCCGACTCGCCTCCAGATCACACGACTTCGAACCGGCTGCAACGGGCGAACGCTGGAACCGCGGGTCACCGGCCCCGGAGACCGAGCCAGAAAGTCCGTGGGGCGGCTTCTTCGGCCGCGGCAGGTCTGATTTGCGTCCAGACTGGCCCAGCCTGGCCCCAGCTCCTGAAAAACCTCATTGAATTAATTGAATTAGTGTGTTTGTACGATCAACTTCCGTAAAATGAGGTCCAAGTAACCGGTCAAACCGTCCAAGCATGTCCAAGCAGACGACCTCCATGAGTGGGATCCTGGACGACCTCCAGCCTTACGGGTGCCGTAGACGGCCTGACAATGGGTCCTTTGGAACCAGTTGGGTTTAGTAGAGTGATGCCCAAAAACTCCATGGGACTGGAAAAACTCCATGGGACTGGAATATATGCCATACAAAAACAGCACCACCACCACCCCAACTGTTCTCGCCAAAGCTGGCAGGTCCCATGGAGTGTCCGGGTACAGTGTGATGACACCCATTCCTGGCAATGCCTGGCATATGGGCCCAGGAGTTCGGACGTGGGAGAGTCCAACGTCTTCCGCCTTTTGGTGAGGCTTGATGCCACAATCGCATCACCACAGGGGACCCACAGAAATTCCATCAGCAGATCGTACCAGCTCTGTTTGCCAGCCGTGTTCGCCTGCCAGGGGTTTCAGAGGGCAAGAACTTGCCGGCCTTAGCCAACAAGGAGTGGATTATGGCTTTGAGAGTTCAATTGTCAGCACAAGCTGGAGACTGGGACAAGACTTATATAATCTTATATACAGGCGTCGCGTGTGTGTGTGTGTGTGTTATATATATATAGTAATTTATAGATCTATTTATAGGTTATGTAGGCAAAACAAGGCACATGGCCTTTGCCCTATCCAGCCTAACAAGTGGAAGTTGTTGACCTCGGAATCTCGAGGACGCTTGCATGGATTCTGGGTAGTGGCAAAGGTACGTCGTGCAATTCATCACTTGCTCGGTTTCAGGCGGAAAGTTTCAGGGCAAAACGATCCCAACAGGCCTATGTGCCACTCCCCGATCGCTCAACTCATCCTACTGGCGGGCAGTGCGGAGAAGAATGGGGGGATCAACGTTTACCAACATGATCAAATGCCAGATATAGAGTGGCCACTCACACAGTTTTTTAAATATATCGCACATTGTTTCAGAAATGCACACATATAAAAGACCAGGATTGAACACGAGTGATGCAGTCATACAAATCACCATTCGTGCTTCTCTTGCGCTTCTCTTCAGGAGATGCCACGACACAACGTCAGGTGCACCGGCGTAACGACCTGGGAGAGTGCATTTGAGGAAGATGTGGAGTAGGAGAGACGTCCATGGTCCATGTATGTCCATGTATACCTGGACCATCCCAATGGACATCTACAAGTATAGTGTAGGGTCGTTCATTGGACACCCATTGGATGGTCCTGGTGTATATATATATATATATGTATATTTATTTCATATATTATAACTTATATCGACAAGTCTCCATACATCATATATATATAAGAGATGTAGGGGTCAAGCACGACCATGGCCGCTAGGACAATAGAACAACTCTTGGCCCCAATAATAGCATCCGACGTCGGCAAGTGGACATTCGGCCTTTTCTTTCTATATCGAATTATATCGAATCCGAGATGGTGGTCCTTGCATGCCATGGTGGTCCTGTACTGTGTTGTTTCCACCTCCCCCCACAAGTGGTCCATGACTGAGATGCTGGAGTTCTTCTTGGCTTAACGTGTTGAGCATCGCTCCCTGTCATGTTGGTTTCGGTCATTCTCCGACCACCGGAGAAGAACTCCCAAATTGCTCAGGGGGTTAGTCAGTTCAAAAGAAGGTGGTTAGACCCCCCTGGCACCCACCCCAACCACCGAACCTCACGAGGTAGTTGGAGACCTATAGTTCTTTTTTTGCTCCTTCAGACGGGCATAGGATTTCTTGTGCAGGCCCCTCGCCTGGGCAGCCTTCCCAAGAAGGAAGATCTAGATCAATCCGCAAATGCCGAAAGGGAGGTCTGTTTTTGTTTTCGAATGGCTTGTACTGTAGCATCCATCCAGGCTCCCAAATCTATGAACACGTGTATCAATTTGGCCACGGTTTTTTTCCCGATTCCTTGAGCAAATCAAAGGATACCAAGGGGTCACCTGTCCGGGTTTTTGTCGCATTTGGCAGATCCCAGTTGCTGACTCACCCTCGGCTTGTGACTTGTGGTAGTGAAGCCACTGAAGCCGGCAAAATCGCCTTCAAAGATTCTCAAAAGAGTGAGACGGACTTCGTGGTGTAGCATGGTGTAGTGTACAAATCCTTAGTAAAAACCATGGTTCTTTAGGATTCAGACCATTCAAACAACGGTTGTTCGAATCCTAGTGCCAAATTCAAGATCTCGTTGGAGCACAACTCGGGTTCGACAATGTGTCGACATCTTCGGGCTTCGCCTGGTGTCGATGTGACGAACAAACCACGCGGCAATACTGCGAACCCCATGATTCCTCACGAAAACGATTGATAGAGTTAGTAGAAAACATCATCCACAGAGCCTTGGGGTGTCTAAGAATCAGGAGATCCCGGGAGTCCCTCAAAGAGTTTTAGCCCATTTTCACTTTTGGAGGATACCCAAACTGCTGGGGCCACCCAATTTCAATACAGACCCACCTGATCCCACCTGTGAGCTTCCCACCTGATCCCACTGGTGAGGTTTGTCAGCGACATTCCTGAGTAAACCACCCACCCTCTGAGTCGACGGACTGCTGTGTACCGCATACGCCACGAGGCCTTGGGTGGGTGGCGCCTGAAGAATGGGCCCTTCTGCTCCAGGTTCCGGTCGATGCAGTCTTGTCAAAAGAACGCAGCGGCTGCGAGATGAAGGGTCCCAGAGAATTGAAGTTTCTCCAAAGACCCAAGAAACCGAAGAGCAGGTTCCAACCTGATTGGAAGAAAAATGATTCGAGAATATGTCGAGATTGTAGGTTGTTTTTTGGGGGGCTGGTGTGAGCATTTGGTATAGCCACAGCCTTGTTTCATCCCTTTGAAATGGCGTCTTCTTGAGGTTGGATTTTCGGTAATGTCAGAATTGCTCGCTTTGGGGTGTCCCAAAAGCAGATAGGATGATGAACATTTTGGAATTGCTTACAGCATTTTAATGCATTGTATATATAACAATATATATTCAGAGATTGTATTACTATATGTTAAATAGCGTGCTCTAATATAAATTTAGGATTTCGACGACTCAGAGGGTTCCATTCAGATTCCTCCAAGGCGGCATTTCCATATCTCGAAAGGTTTTTCACCGCACAGCCAGGCCGGTGTTCACCTTGACTGCTGTGGCTTCATGTACAGGGCGGACAGCTGTTTTTTTTTTTTTTTCGCAGTTTTGGTTCACAGAGGAGGCAGGCACCATTTAATCCGAAGCGTGGGCGTGTATGTCGTCCAAAGTGTCCTGCTCCTCCTGCCGTAGGACGGTTTTGGGGGCTGTGGCACGGAGAAAGCACCGATGAAACCAGCGTGCCTGGCACGATGGCGGCACATGTTTCGAGCAGGGGCCAGGGCTGCGTTAGAGCGGGGCCGGGGCTGCGTTAGGGGCCAGGGCTGTGTTTGGATGGGGTCTTTGGTGAATGCACTAGGGAATTGTGGCCTGGGTCCTCTCAAAGATATACAGTCAATTGCACAATATTGCGAAGGCAACATGGAAACTCTCAAAGTGAGGACGCCCTTCCCAACGAGTATGCCAGCTGCGTGCATGCACTGTGACATCCTGTGATGTTCTTGGTCTTTGAGCAACTTGCTGGTCTCCCTCCCTAAGCAAGCCCCGCGCAGTGGTTGATCCCGCTGAATGGTGGCCAAATCTCAGAGGCACGCAGCCAGGAAAGCGATGATGGGTACCGAGGATTGCTATGCTAGAGCAACTGTTGCATTTGCTGCAAGTCTTTCATGTTAGTGGCTTTGATTAAGCAGTTTCTCCGATATCCACAGCCCTATATGTAGCCTGCATGACTGGCTCGCAGAGTGGGCAGGCACAGTGCTTTCGGTGGCCCGTCCCGTTCGTTCGATCCGCTTTCGGGCTCGGTAGGGCTGTACAAACTTACAGCTTCGTGGATCAAAGGCATGTAGATCTTGATCTAGGAATTCATCCCAGAAACATAGCAGAACCCAGTGAATTCACGGTGTCTGGTTCCAGGGACTGCACCTGAATGAGAAGCTGAGAAGCTGAGAAGATGTGAATGAGGCAAGTTGTGGAGCGTCCAGTTGGACGATGGCACGGCATGACAACAACTACCAGGGCCCCCGGTGCCAGGCGTGGTTAATGGACACCCCTTAACCCTTCTTAAGGAGCTTTTATCAGACATCCAGTTGATTCCTTGGGTTCGACGGAGAAAACCAACAAACAGCGCCTAATCCAGCGGCTGATCCAGTTTTGGGGCAACAAGCCCACGTGCCACACTCAACAAGGTGCCACACATACCCGTTGGATGAAACGTTGTGCGACAGAGGTTTTGGCAAGATCTCATGGTGGCGAAGAGGCAAACAACATGCAACCTACAGTAGAAGTTGTACCCATTTTTTGAGCCTAGATTTGCTTAAGATGCTTAAGGTGACTGGGTATTTTCCCTATGATTAAATCCCGGGGAATAGTTTCTTGTTTGGGATCCAGGTTCCTTAAGCAAGTCCAAGTTTACATTCATTTACCAGCGGGCTTGAATAGTGTCGTATGTTATAGGGCCATGGTCACGCTGTAGTAGTGGTAGATGGGATTTCACACTTGGACATCAAGGGCATTGGAACTCCTGCCCAGCAACTGCGCGCGAAAGGGCATAGCTGTGCGGCCGAATGGATAGTGGCAGATGGCCGAATGTCCAGCCGTTGCGCGAGCTCATACGCCCAAGATATCATAATTAATGATGAGATATCGCATCCTTTTTGCCGGGCCGCCTCTCCAGCTGCAGCGCCGATGACCTGAAGAAAGCTCCCACAGTCCTTGTCCCCATCGTTGCCAGAGAATTCGGCATGGCACTGGGAGGCGGCAGCGCCGACAGCCGGCTGCGGAAGAGATGCAGCGCCACAGAACGCTGCGAAAGGATCGCCGGAATTCGGAGGAATTCAGCTGCGGCCCACAACTAGTGACACGACAATCCTTGTGACTGGAATGTGGGCAGCAAACGCGTTTTAAGCCTCGACAGGTGAAAGCTGCAGCAGGCCTCATAGGAAGGCTGCCAGCATTCCAGGCAGCATGGCACGTTGTTGTACTAGCTTTTTAGGTCCTTGGTAAATTTTGGTAGCCTGTTTGAGCCCCTTTTTGGATCTACTGAAAGAGCATGGTTCAGACGTCCAGCCAGCCAGGACGATTTTTCACCATTCTTAGGGTCGAATTGAAAATCCTCATGGTGTCCAGGAGTGTGTGTGGTGTCCAGCCAGCCAGTACCTGAGAGGCTTCCTTCGCTACAAAAACTGCTCAAAATCCATAGGCTCGCTCGCCCAAAAGAAGTGCGATCCAAACAAAGGTTCAGCAGCTTCTTCAGTACGTGACCTTTTGAAGGTTCCTAAGTGACCCGTAGGAGGCTTAAGTGACCGAACCAGGTTATCAAAAGGTCACTTCGAAGAACCAGGTAATGATCACTTTGTGTTATTCAAGAGTCGACGACCCGGAATTCATCTTGCTTTCACTCTCTTTTTCGACGGACTCCTGGTCTCCCTTCACCTCTCACTTCCAACCGATCGTCCAACTGATCATCCACTAGAACAGCTCCCCCACCCCCACCACGGATCTGAAAGGGGGCCAGGGCCTGCTGCGACGAAGGCCATCTTACAGACTCGGAATCTGACCCGGCCCGTGCCGAAAAGGAGTCAGAGACCGGCGGGGCAGGGATGGGTCCCAGACCGGCCCATGGGTCTCACACCGGCTGCGGCGGAACCGCACTGCTTTTCCGCCGGGGCGCTCAGAGTGAGGGGCGTTCCGGTTGGCCGGTCCGAAGTCTCCCAGCTCTAGCGTTCCAAGCGCAGAACACCCCGTGATTCCTTCTGCGATAAGGTGCAGATCTGAAGGTCAACTCACACTCAGCCGATCAGGCACAGTGGCGTAGCATCATCCGCATTATGTCGAGAATCAGTTCGACCCGTTTTTGGACCACAGGATGGGTGTTCTTATGCCCTACATGATCCTACATGCGGGGTTTCAGTCTTGCAGGTGACTGGTCCTCAATGTTGATATGATGTACATGTGATGAGTGATGTGCAACCATGGCTGGGGGCTTCTATCATTGTGAGCGCTTCGAACTCGGCGCATGTGTTTCGCTCGCGGCCTCTGTTCGGCCTCTTTGTTTCGTGGCTCGGTCCACTGACATCGGTGTGAGCATGGCATGCCTTCAAATCCTCACCGATTCGCCCTCGACGTGCTGAAATGGTTTGGGTTTTAGCCAATGTGCGGCTGAGAAGATCTGTTTTTGGCTAAAAAAATCTCTTAAGAAGTTCATTTGTTGTGTTTTTTTTCACCGTGTTTCACTCTACCAGCAGTCACATGTCGGGGTGCTATCCATGGAGGTTTGGAGTGCCCTTGTCACATTCCACTCACTGAACTTAGGGACTAAACACCACCCAACATACCCAACTCCCTGTGACTCCAGGTAGAAAAGCTTGATTTACACAGATCTTCCCCTCCTTTCATCCTCCACGTTCTCACCCTTTTCGGACGTCCGAGGTCACTCCCAGCGGCACCGGGTACCGGTGGTCGCCGGGGGAGGTCGGTGGAGAACGAGCACCGGGGAGGGTCGGTCTCCATGACGGTATCGTTCGGTGGATTCTTTTTTGGGGGGAGTAAGCTTAAGTAAGCAAAAGGATGCTTTGAAAAACTGATGCTTATACTGAGTAGTTCATTCGTTCATCTCGTCTCGGTGGCGCGTGTGGAAGGCACGCCGCTGATTCTGGGGGTTGGGGCTAACCCAGAACATCTTACTCGTACCCCACCTGCACCTGGGAGCGCTGGGAGTCATCATCCACGACCAGTTCGGGGTCGAGTGAGTCATTTGCCAAAAGGTCGGAGATCTCGGAGGTGAGGTTCATGGCATCCCACCAGTGCACAACCACACCAAGGTGGGGAAGAGCTCGATCCAGGCCAGGCAGCTCTTGGGGAAGGAGACGCGTGGTGCAGGAGTGCCCCCTATCACCTCAGCTCGGCGGTGTTGAAGTGGGACCATCATGAGAAGCAGGTTTGCAAAGGATGTTGACAGGATGTTGAAGGGAGATGTGTTTCAGGCGAGGCCCAAGGTCCTCAGGTTTCCGTGCTCTGCAAGCGGTGCAGCATGTCCATCAAGGCTTGGATGCTTTCCCCACCTACGACTTGACCACCAAATCCGATCAAATCCGATCAATCAATTTGTTTGGCAAACTGCAGTGTAGTCACCAAACGGCACTTGTGAAAGAAAACGGCCTCTTTGACCGCCAACTGAATTTTTGCTGAGACAAAGCTGGACAAACTAAGACTCCACCTGCGCAAGGTCCATTCAGTTCGGCAAACACAATTGCATTGGCAAACCTTGGTGCTGGTGCTGCTATTGTTGACACGTGGCTTGTGATGTTCATTCGTGCTGGTGTGGTTGTACTTGTACCAGGCCTCCCTGGAGAAAACCCATTAATTCGTATCAAACATAAAATTCCCCCTACTCCTTTGGTCCTGGTCTGCTGGTTCCCTGGTCGCTTGGTCCCTTGGTCCTCTGGTCCCTTGGTCCCCTGGTCCCTTGGTCCCTCTGGTCCCTTGGTCCTCTGGTCCCTTGGTCCTCTGGTCCCTTGGTCCTCTGGTCCTTCGTCCTGGTCTTCGGGTCCTTGGGTCTGTACTTTCGAGGCAAGACGCGTTAAAGGTGATTTGGAAATCTGGTCATACATCCTGTGAAGCACCGTAGCAGACATTTTATTGCCAGACGTAGCACACCCTTTTTTGTGAGCCACCCTGACGGTAAAATTTAGACGAAGAAAGTGCCATTCCAAGGTAGCAAACCTTTTGTGAGCCACCTGAGGGCAAAATTTTGAAGAGGAAGGAGCCATTCCA